CCGGCGGAACTTCTGATAGCCTGGCGATGCTCACTAGATTACCTGAAAAGCTCCACTTTTGTCAGCAAAGCAGACGTCGGCAACGCAGCCGGAGCTGGTTATTCCAGTCGACACTGCCTTCAAAGATATGTAGATACTATTGGCCTTGGAGACCTTATTTTCACTAGACCCAGTGAGATGGGTTTGGAGCTGCGGGGAAGAAACAGGTTTGAGACTATCGGACGTGCCAATGTGTATAGTCGTGGACTCCATGTCCAGCTTCCCTCTCCTCAAGCGCTGAAGAGGGCTGAACCGGGCTAAGACAATCACAAGCATCCCTGCAGTGTGTCACTGCAACGAAAGTCGGTGAAATCTGGTTTTGGGGAAAACAGCATCAACCTGGGTGAAGCGGTTTTCAGAAGGATGTTTTCCGTCAGTTGAATCAGTCATTCAAATGTTCAGGCATTGATTCGCGTCAAAAGATTAATTCATCCGACAACCAAACTGACCAAATGCCGCCCCATCAATGTAATTTGCTCTCATTGATGGGTAGACGAGCTGATTCGCCAGCCACGTGTGCCCAAGGAGCTGCGTATTCTAGGTCACCGGAGCCCGGCACTAACAGGGCGATATCTTGAGTGGGATGGCGTCCTCTTTTAGATTCGAAAACGTGCAAACATTCTCCGGATATGCAACAAAAACGTTGTCGGACCAGATGAGTGGCAAAATGCATCTCTGCCGGAGCTTGACGGGATTTCGAGCAGTCGTGTGTGTCAGTTGTTGCTCATCAGTAGGGGACTTTTCTCGACTACAGCTTTCGGGGACTGCGGCTAGAATGTGCAGACAGCAGTCTCTCGTCTTCCAAAGAGACCGCCAAGCCGTGACTCGCTGCACAACTGTTGCCCCGAGCTTCTTATTTGAGGGCTGATTAAGGATGGATGTCGCGGTCTGTCTGTCTGCGTCAAATCAGTTCAAAATGCCATGACCGTGCCGGAGGGCTGGCGAGACCTCATTGACGATGAGCAAACTTAGTTATGTGGTAGATGGTGGGCAAGTCTACTACCACTATAATTTAATTCACACACAGTCATCATGCTTTCCCTCAGCCTGCTGTGAGCACACGGTGGACATCGTCGGTCACGGCTGTCGAACTGTGACAATAGCTCTGTGGCTTGTTAGCTTTTCATAGACAACCGGTTTGCCAGATCGCTGCCCAGCTAAACTCGGAGGTATTGTCGTTGTTTGGTTCGGGACTGCCTGCAGGTCAGGACCAGGGGCCCACTTAGCTCGCCACTAGCCCTTCTTGAGTGTCGCCCCCTTGATGCAGTATGTATGATGTAATATGTCAACAAGCAGGTTCCGTCTCGTCGGAGTTGCCCCGGCCTCTGAGGGATTGCTATGAATAAACTCACTGTCCTATGTGGGTCCATAGCGGGCGTTCATGGCTGCAGCGACTTACTAAGGTATCCCTTCTGTCACTGTTTTGAAGGTAACCGGACTTGATGAACAAGCCAGCGCAGATGGCTGAGAGCGTTCGATATGCACAACAGATATCGAGGATATGCCGTAGCTCGAATATCGCGTTGGCATAGCCACGATCTGAGAGATGCTTACAGGCGCATCCCGGGTGTAGGAACTCCTACATCAGCGTCAGTGAGTCTTATGTCGTGGTAGTCCTCACACTGCGCTTCACCCCTCATTACGGCAAGTATAGGTAATGCCGAACTTCAGTGAGCAGGCGTTGTGTAACCCGTCAATACGCGTTCACTCTCCTAGTGGAGCCAATTTGTCAGAATGTTATGACAGAACTTAAGAACTCGAACCGCCCTTTCTCAGTGAGTTGTTACGGCGTGGACTCGGTATTGCAGTCTTGAGTTTTAGTATGGAGGGATGGTTACGCCACAATGACGAAAGACAAAATGTCGTTCTGGTTTTCACACTGATATCGCTTGTTAGCGTGCTCGGGGAGAAGCATATGACGCCTTCACCCTGGTTGATATTAAAATGACTCCGCCAGCTCGCCACTACTGGTCGAGTGGATGTCATGGCACGGATCACTGCCGCCGAGAAGGCGCTCATGGACAGGGCTTTTAGGGTAATGGGCATCCACGACTGTGCATTTTCCTATTACCGTCTCACCATGACTGGAGGAGTGCGAGGCAACAGTAGGCTGAAGGACTGCACTTAACTGTCGGTAGACTGTGGATCGGGGCATACGAGAATGATGGTAATGGGGCTTTTACGTGTGGGGCAGCACTTCAGACAATAAGCTGACAAAATACAAGAAAACAGAAATTGTTTAGATTTCTGCCGAAAGTCGTATTGTACGCTTTCGTATGCCAATGGAAATGATCTCGTTTATTAAAAAAATAAGCAGAAAGAAAATTCAGAAGACCATTTGGCGAGAATACGCGTGCTTTTGATAAATTCTCGTCGAAGCAGTACATTTATATAGGAACGAGGTATAAAGCAAAACGTTTGAGCGATAAAAGAGATCGATTCGGGTCCGCTTTTTCATACGAGCGGGACATGTAAATCGGGGGGAGGGAGGAGGCAGTAAGTGACAGTGAGACTTAAGTAGAGCCGTGTCATAGGAATTCCGACGAACACACTCAAGGAACTATTATTAAAATGCACACAAAATGTGCAGTTCCATTTTGACAACCGAATATCTAGAGAAATAGAGGGAGTTGCTGTGATATAGCCTCTTGGTCCTCTCCTAGTCGATGTCTTCATGGGAAAACTGGAGAAACTTCGGTTAAACTACTGAATCACGAAGCTAATGCCCCTACGGTCGTTAATCAGATTTACGTTGGAGGCGGAAACGCAAGCCCTCTGCCCATGTTAAGCGTCTTTCTAAGTGCAAGAGCTGACGGCAGCGTTCAAACTAGCGTCTATTGAAAAGAAACTTGGGCCGGGCAAGATAAGAACTTCTGCAGCTGTGTACCCTTTCAACAGAAGTGTAATCTACTCCGTTGTTCGGTGCAAAGAGCTAAAAAAATCTGTTGGGCAAATAGCACTGATGAAGAACGTAGAAGAATCCGGGACCTATTTCGCGAGAACAGGTATTCTGACAGATTTATTGCAAGGAACCTCACCAGACCACGGGCAAAGCTCATGACACCGACGGCAGAAAAGGAAGGTCTATTCCTCAAAGTCTCCTGGCGAGGGACGCGGTGAAGGAATTCCTAAGAAGACGCGTTTGACCAAGCCGTTTTGTGAACCTTCCCAGCAGCAAGAGTTAAGGTATTGTTCTCGAGCAACCCCGTCTTACGTGGTAAAGGGAGGGATATGTTACCAATCCAGACCACCACCATGTGCACTCGCTCGTATGCAGCAGGTCATATTGGTCATACTATTTGGCGCCTATCCGCAAGAATACGAGAACGCCTGCTGGCCTTCCTGAGGAAAGGTGAAATTAAGCGCATACTCAGCTCCAGCCCCGCACACATGGTTGATTCTGGGCATCGTGTGGGACCAACGACAACATCTGTGTGATTTATGATGTCCCATCTAACTAACCTAAGAAACTAGGTCAGCGCTTACTGGCAACAGCAGAAGCGACTACCATCAGGCCACGGAGGCCGGTCCTGTGCGCGCAGAAGAACGTCCTGCACAATTTTTCTAGAATAGCAGAGGAACCTAGGGAAGCACATCACACTTCGCGACGACTCTAGGTCGATTTGTATTCATTATGCCGGAGGTAAAGGTCGATGTTTTGATATTCCCCCTCAAATTTATCAAACTGTTCGCACAAATGGCCGCGAATGTCTATTTTGGGGCATAAATGAACAGTCATTATCGGATTTTATGGCGAAGGCCCCTCCAGCGTTCCCCAACTCTTCCTTTGGACGTGAATTCCAGAAGAATATACATCCTGCATCTGCTTTTTTGAAGTGCCCTTGTCAAGAAAAGGGAGTCTAGAGTAAAGCTGAGGTTTCCACCTTTTATCAACCCAGGTTGGAAACGACCAAGTCTGTCGGTAATTCCGATTGCCATATCGTTGCCTTTCTAGAACATTCCAGACTGCCTGCGTTAATAGTCATTCTGGTTGCGGGGGGAGGAAGAAGGGAAGGATACAGGAGTTTTCCTATTTGTCACGTTGCGATGGCAGCTATAGTGATCAGCAGCTGCGGTTGCCTGCGTAGACGGCTCGGGCCACCATTTTAGAGTTCCTATTCTTGTCATCTCAATAGGGATAACACGTTCCACCGTGACTCACGATTAGTGTAGTGGGAAGACGACTAAAGTTAGCCTGACCGGCCTGGAAGATTGTCACCGTCGTTTCCATAAGAACCTTTAGAATGTATGAAGGAGTAACACGACAAAGTATTTATCATGTGTAAGCACACACAGGATGCCCTCATCCGACTTTAGCTTAGATGTCGGGACGGTTACCGGTGTCTGATCACTGCGCAGAACAGTTTTCTGTGGGCGCACACGAAGGATGTTTGCCATAGAGTTTATCGGTTTTTGGTGGGACGGCACATCCATCGATATCGAAATGCCCGTCCATTGCTTTCATGTCCCGTGTAGGACTGATTAGATGAGGCATAAATCCCATCATCATGACACTCCCTAACCCCCCTACTCGACCCCAAGCGATTTTGACATGCATTCTCCTGGGCAGTCGTCTACACTAGGTCCGTTGTTTTTTTACTTTGCAGCTCCCAGAGCTAACAGCCTACTCTCAACTCCAAAACTGACTAAGGATCTTCCGTGTTTTTAGTTTTTTTTCTAAAACCAGGGGCGTCCATAGCCAGCATCTTCTATTTCGTGTGCAAATTGTCATTTTTATTTGCCTCCGTGCATTCTTCATTTGGATGATGAAAACGACGTAGTGTAGCCCGTTCTCCATGCGGTTCGCGATCCGTCTGCCTGGAGCGCCATGTTTTCCCCTAAATGCTTCGCACAAGTCTAATGTGACCCCCATGACACCCTCCAGCCAGCGAAATCCAAGCTGTCACGTTGTGTGGGGATCCCCTCGTGGGTGGCACACGTAAAGGAATGGCCTAGCTATGTTAGCCACTGGCGTCCAATCCCAGCATCAGATGGCTAACCGTCTCGGACAGTGAACTGGCGCCTGGGCGAAGGAAGAAATTGAGGCACCCCGTCCTCACAACACACTATGCACATCCCTCACTATGAATAATCTGACGGGCTTTAAAACAGCCTGATGTGCTAAAAGTCATGGTGCGGAAGGCTGCTGCCCAACGGGATAACTCGGACTTCTCAGGTTGGACTCAATGGCTTCTTCCTAATATGGTCCCTATGGCAATTTCACTCAGATGGGATCCGAACCGACCGCTCCTTGCCTCTGTGAAAATCTCGTCCATCGCGCTCGGCTCAAGCATAACTTCGTCAGCCACTAAACTCGATCACGTCTGCAGTCGTTCTGGTTTTGTCTTGCGACCGGGCTCAGGAGTGTGAGGACGGAGAGAATGTGATAGATGGCTCGAGACGTGCTCCCAACTATTTAAAAGACTTCTTCGTTTGGATGACGAGAAAGGTGAGTTGTGTATTGTTCATCACTAGGCCCGGGATCGTTCTGACCAGGTTTACGTTGAGTTAGGGGAATATCTGATGACATCATTCTTCTTCTTCTTAAATCTTTTTGTGCTGAGAGTTAACTTAATTAAAAATGCCCGGTGCTTGGCGCGTTGCTCGAGTAGTTCCTATCTTTATAAACCAAAACTTATGTTCCTTCCCCCCTTACATTTCCCTGCTTCTTCATCATTTCACGTAAAGATTTCTGGAAGGTTCACACTGGACCCAGTTCTCTTACCTCTCAGGTACCTAAGAATTTGCGTAAGAAGCAAAAAAAAATTACTCGAGCAGTGGTAGTGCATATTTACTCCTATGAATTCAAAAGTAGGCGACTTCAACGCTCACGGGTGTGAATATCTTGATTTTTTTCTGGCTTCATTGCTGTTTCAAGCAATTCTGCCCTTTAGACAATAGCTGGGTGGGGCTCATACAATCGGGGATTTTCGACTCGCAGGCAGCCTTTCTTCCCGAACTCAATTCCTCCTATCTATAAACATATACCTTCCCTTCCGCCGAACGCAAATGTTGGGTACTAAGGTAGCACCACCCGTCAGTTCATGCTTTTTAAGCAGGTCCCCCAAGGACTGTCTAGTTGCTAAGTAATCTGAAGACCTTGTTACTGCGCACCGCTTGAATGAAGGCGACAGCCAACTACCCAAAGCGGACTTGGGTTATGTCTTCGCATGGTTATCAAAAGATGGTCTTCGGATTAACTGGCAGGAATAAATTCAGAGTATTTTTAGTTCGTGACTTTCACCCAGTGGTTTTTATGTTTTCCAATCTTCTTACCAAATAAACTCCTCCCTTCCAACTTTTTAGCGCCATTATTTCTTTCAGTCTCTCGTGATCCATTCATGCTGACTCCCCTTTCACCAAGATCCGTAAACCTATGTACTCTCTCCGGTGCTTACGTTACTGTTTGACTTCTCAGCGGAGGACTTGTTGACGTCCACACTCTCCAACTTGTCATTGATCGTCACCTTCCAGTCCTTTCCTACCCTGTTAAGAAGGATCCCCAGTCGTGCTCTTTACACGTTCTGATCCATCGTCAGCATATATAGTGCCTTTGTCTTGGATATCACAACTAAGGCCGGACATTTCCACGGTCGAATTTTCTAGAAGATAGTTTACTCTTCTCATTCTGATATACCAACTGCTCAGTCACCCCGTCCAACCCGTCGTCGTCGTCGTCGTCTCAACAATCCACCACTCCGTCTCTCGTCCGATTTTTGACATGTCGCGAAACTAATATGCCGAAATCAAGATAAAACTTGCTTCCTTAAGAGCCGTCCACACTCTCAGTGGCATTCAACGATATGAGTAGCTTTCTTCACGTTTTACCTGAGCAAAACCGATCGGAGAGCACACTTTTACGAAAATGTCGACCGTTTCAAGATTAAAGTGTTCACTTTCATATTTTTTTCGCTCCTCTCTTAAAACATCCCGACTTAGCATCTACACTGACGTTGAAGAATGCTTAATGTCAGATCCTTAGGGGAGTTCTCGAAGCAAATGAATATGGTTCACTTGGTGTTTGCACTAGCCCATTAACCGATTCCTCATCCCCGTTTTTGATCAATACTGGCCAGCGCGCCCACCCCCTGTTTAAGTATTAACTACAATTTGGGCAAACTTTTCTACGGTGTTCTAATCAAAGAAGAGTCTTAACAATGCTACCTACCGCAAGTAGATGACAAGCAGTAAATAAGAAGCCACAAAGTTTGCCTCTAGAGTGAAAACGAAGGACTTTTCGTCAGCAGTATACTTCAGGCTCAGGTTCAGTTTTATTTGCCGTAGACAGTGGCTGTACGAATTCCCTGTGCCATACTTTTGGCCCTGACCTAATCTTACCACTAAAAAAGAGTCATAAAAGTCACGATCCCATAAAATCAGTCACTTAATGAACATGCGACCACTACAGCAATCTTGGTTGTTTTTATTTCTATAATATTTTTGCTCATTTGGTTTTGGCAGGCATGTCGTATTAGGGTTACGTTTCTGACGGGCAACGGTAGGTTGTGTAATCCCACTTTGCAACCAGCAGCCCCACGCTCGTGCAATACGGGAATGGTGCAATGTAGGTTTTACGGGTGAGGCATCACCGAGTAGGGGAGAGCGAAATGCATGCATCAAAACCTGAAAGTGGGTAGATTTCAGCTGAAACTCTTTTTCTACGCCCATATATAGCAGCAGAAGTGAGCGCGCTAATTGAAAAATACACAATAAGCAACTCTCAATAAATAGAAGGTAATCGAATAATTCGCCACTTGCAAGCTTGCGACAGCCCAGAAGCCAATAGAACGGACAGCCAATAGAAGAGAAGAACGGTAGGTGCCATATATTTTAACTGGGGTAATAAGTGCGAGGTGCCATAATGCACATGAGTACTAGAGAAACTATGAAAATACACCCTAATTAACGAGGGAAAAGTCAACCAAGGTAAATATGAACGCCTGTTTGTATCTTCATAATAAGTCAACTGACTACTGCAAAATGTCAATTTAAGGATAATAAGCATTTATGTTTAAAGTTCGTGCACGACAATGAAATGCGTTTATAAACAGGGTAGGTGCTAATGCTTGTTTTTTCCTTCTAAAATACAGAAAATCGACTTCAGGTCTCAGAAAATGCAGACAACCGCAGCTTGACATTCTGATTAAAGCGAAGGAAATAACCGAAGTTCTAAACTCGAAGAATGGGACAGAATACTGCCAACCAAGCGGACTGCTATCTCGTGTGGCAAAATGTCATTGCGGACGTCAAATGCGCCAGCAAGTAGTAAAGTTGCACACCGACGGATATGTGTTCCGGTGTGGCCAATGTCGAAGGAGGAAAGCACTGGTGCTTCCGTTGTCGCATCGGGCAATATGGGCCCATTTAGACGGGGTTCAATATCGTCTGCGGTTTAGCCTAGACAGCGTTGATCTAAAGCAAGCATGGGAAATGTCCCTGTCACATATTGCGGAAGCAAATCCGATGCAACAGCTTCCCGAACAGGAAACCTATAGGGCTCCTTCCTGAATGCAATTTAACGACCTCTCTTGTAAATAAACTCAACTGAATTTAACTTTCATATTACTGGTTATGCGAGGGACTACGCACAATTATTCTTGAAGAACTAAGTAAGCCATGGCGCACGCTTTGCACAGCAGGAACCATTCGGAGATATCATGGAAGCTGAGCGTTTGTGCCCTGACCGAGGCATTGTAGACCAAAACACACGACGACAGTGACAGCACGCGTTGTATGGCGAATGTCGACATGGCATAAGAAGGTTAAGCTAGTCTTTTCGAAGAAGTAAAAGAGTTACGGCGTACACGTCCGACAACAGAACTTGTTTGCAGGCTTCGAGGATGTCGGGCGTTTGTGCTCTAACTGAGGCAAAGTAAACCAAAAAGGAATCGACGAGCCTTGCATCACGCGTTACATTGTGAGTACAGCCATGACACAAGAGGTATGCTCACCCTTTTGGAATAGACAGACTACAGAGGGGGGGAGGCAAAAACGGAATGCCAAATCAGGCCAGATAACTTACCACTAAAAATGTCATACTGAAACAGCTCGGTGGTTGTGGTTATATCAGTGTGCTAGATAAAATTTGATGGGTGACTTCCTGTAGATATGAATTAATAAATTAAGCAAGACCTGGTTAGTTATACATAGTAAACCTATAGGGATTACACATCACCCACCCTTACCTTCTGAATAAGCTTAAAATTAATTAAATTTTGGGATTAAGGTTAAGTCTAGGGCTAGGACCAGATTAAAGGCTAAAGCTATGAAAAGGGTTGGGGCTAAAGTTAGGACAGGGGTCAAGTTTGCCTGCCGCATACCGTCTCACCCAATCCCGCCTTCTTTAACCAATAACCTCGGATTATCTGTTTTCCGCCAGCTTACGCCTCCCAACACGCGTCTTTTAAATTCCGGGGTCAGTTCGGACACCCAGTTGGAGTAGTAAAACAAACACAGGACAATGCCTTCCGCAGATTCCGTTAATTGTCGTGTCTGTTTTCTCTACTAATGAAACCAATAGTAATATCCTACTCGTATTTCACGCGATTCTGTGTTCCATTTTCTATCTGGGTCGACATATTCAGTACTTGCTGAAGTTATAGCCAGTTTCTGGGCCCGCCCAAGCAGACCCTTCAGAGTATTCCGGCTAATTAGAATGTTAGGAAGATCGCCGTTCTGTGACTTTGTCTCACTCTCAGTACTGTAAAGATGGCGAGTTCATTAACACTACCTACACACTAATTAAAGGAAGACGACTGCACCTCTTGGGTACGTCAGTTCATAAATGGCGGTACCTAACCATCTTTTGAATCAATAATCAGGTTTTCATGCAGGTACAATTCAGCGTAAATAAGCAGTGAAATAACAGCCATCAATTCCAGATATAATTAAAGATTTGAACAGATCACAAGAACTGCCTAACCCCTACTCTCTATACAAATGTTGGATGGATTCGTTCCTGTATGTTATGGAGGACGACGAAGATGCTATGAGCGCATCTAGCCAATTGATTGAGGAAATCTGGCTTTAACAACATCCTCGTTGGAAGTGAGACTTCTTTTTCAGTTGTTATGAGCTTGTGACATGTTCCAGTTTCCCCAGCGGCCCCAGCTTTGGTCTGGGGTGATGTAAGCGCATTGTCTGTTCTGCCCAGTGAACACTGGTGGAAAGCATCCAACAGGGGGATGGGATACTGAGTGCAGAGGTCGAAACCCTGACTCCCGGGAAGCAGAAGAAAGTAGTCTGGGAACTGGTGGAATCCCAGCCACAAAAGCCGATCCGTTTGTTTGGCAATTACGTGCAAGGGAGGACTCTGGAGTTCGTCTGCAGGCGGGGCAGGCACTTCTTATCAGGTCGGCCTCTGAAACAGGTGATGGGGCATGCAACATAGGTATCGGCATGGGCGTTGGATCACACAGGGGTATACTCTGCTTACTTGCTGATCTGCTAGCGCGTTTTGAGTGAGCGCTATACCCAGGCCTTGAGGAAGAGGCCCGCTCTCCGATAGTGACCTTGCTGTCATTACTGAGCCTGCTACCAGGAGTATAGGCACGCTCCAGTTCCTCTTCCAGAGCACTGATAATTTCGCTGGCGCTCTTCAGCTTGTAGATCTGTCGGCTCATAAAATTGGCGTCGCCTATCAAGGACTCATCTGAGGAGCTGGAAGACTCCGAAGTAGTTTCAACCTTCCTCTGTTCCGAATGTCGTCCACGTTTTTTGGTCTGCCTTCTGAGCCGGCGTGGTTGTTGACGATTCTCAAAATGAGTACTATTGCTTTCACTGGAAGAAATGTCCTCTAACGCCCTTTCAGTGCTCTTCAGATTGGCCTGCTCGGCTGATCGCATGTGTGGTCGAACAACAACTTCTGATCTTTTCCCCTCTGGCCAGAGGCGACTTACATTTGTTGGACCGATTTTTGATCGAGGAGGCCCGTTACTAGGATAATCTGACAGCGACTCAGCATAAGTTCCCTCCTCCGCAATCGTATTCGTGCTGGAAGTCCCCTGTGTTTGTGGAGAGGATAGTCGCCCCTCTTCTGGTTGCAACAGTCCCGAAGTTTGGCGAGGAGCGGCTTCATCCATCGATATTTCCTTCCGTGAGGTCTCAGCTGTAAGGCTCTCGCTCATATGAGTGTTCTGATCTGGTTCGCTTTCCTCGTCCACGCTCTCCCGCCCCTTCTGTTCGTCAGGTGACAGACAACTACGTTGTCCGTAAGTGGAGGGTCTCCGCGACGCAGGCGTGGGTGACCATCTGTCGTCTTGACAACCGACTTGCAACATTCCGCCCGGAGCCTCCACCGCGCTGAAACTGTCTGTTGTCAAACTGTCCTCTGGCACAGATCTTCTGGGCCTTGACACACACGAATCAGAACCCAAGAAGAAACGACTAATGAGAGCAACGAAGTTGGACTTTCTGCTTCTCGGCTTTTGGGACTTCCCCTTCGCCTTCCTATCCTCCTTCTCTACCTTCTCAGGTTTTCTTGTCCGACTTTTCGAATGAACCCAGGGTCCTCTCGTCCTGTAGTTTTGCCTCTCCAGTGTCCTGCTCTGCCTGGTGTCCGGGCCCACCGACCGAGCCATTCGAGGGCTGGCAGTCGCCACAGGTGCCGACCGACGGGTCTCATCCTGGGGGTATGTAAGGTGCATCAGAAATGCATCACGAGTTGTCAGCACCGGCGGTGGTGACCATGACAGAGGAAGCAGACCGGTCATGGGAAGGAAGAAGTTACTGTCACACACCCTGGCCTCCAAACCGCAGCTTTCGCAGGGCAGTTCCAGGCTGTCGGCCATTTCGGATTCCAGCTGAAGTGTCACAGTAATGGGTTCTTTGAGAGCAGTTGGTGTCCAACTGCGAGCGGGTGCTTCGAGTTCCTCCTCCTTGTCCGATACTGACAGTGGGTCAGCCTGAGTAGGTCCCTCAGTGTCAAAAGACTCGCAGTGGGGCGGGGGACCTACCACCACTACCTCATTCTCGTGAAATTTCCTATTGAGGTGCTTTAAATCGCCTCCCTCCGAAACGGAGTTGAACTGTCTCACGGTACCAGATGGACCCAAGTAGGGATGCAGGTAGGATGGCTGACAGGAGGCAGTAATGCGGAAGCCTTCCGTTCCGACTGGACGGCTACATTCGTTTGAGGTGTTCTGTCCGCCGGACAGTCTGGGAGCGTTCACAGAAAGCGGTATTGATAAAGTGGAGCCCGAGGAGATCAGATCGACTGACTGGACAAGGACATCTGTTGTTCCATCGCTTACTCGGCGTAGAAGGTGGGAGAACGGCGTACTGTCATTACTGAAATCTCCCGGTAGCAGAAGGGCCTCCTCATCTTGCAGTGAAGTCCAGGGTCGCAAACACTCAGAACCCCGTCGGGTCTGGTTTCCAGATAAAGTGTCCCTGGCGTGGAAGAAGTCTTCGTCATTCTGATGAAGTCCTCTGGCCAAATTTAGTGAAACCCGCGACGAGCGTCGTTGCGGGGACACCTCGGGAGCCTCTAAATCATGACACGGCATAGAAATAGGTCAAGTTAAAAGAAGAAACATTTCTGCCTACTTTTCGGAATAACTTTATGGATACAGTCAAATAACATGTGATACGTCTCTAGGGTCTCAAGTCATGAAAGCATCTGGTATGTCATGATTCAGCGAACCATGGCAACCTGGTGTGCGCTGGCGGTTCTCTGGAACCTGATGCCCTGCCGGTTGATGCGCTTGTGATCCCTCTGGTTACACAGGTCGTAAGCATGGCTGCCCAGCCATCTTCGTCCGACTGCGCGCCCACCACCAGCTCCACCATCATCATCACCGAGGCTGGTACTGATACTGCCGATTTTTCATGTCCACACTGTCCCATACATCCACCTCACGCATCGGCCTGGTCGGTCACTTGTGGATCCATCGCACAGACTGACGAATCAGTGACTGAAGCACCAATCTACACTCGCCACATCCGTCTCCACTGTCGACATTGCACATTTATTCACCGCATGGGTCTATTAGGCCACATGCGTGTCCACGTAAGCCTGCGCAGACAACCGCCGCCTGCACCGCACCATCACATCCTCCCTCAACAGTATCTCACCGCACATCAACATGACCAACCGCAAGCACCCGATTGTTACCTCCCACGCAAGTGGGAAGGGTGCGTCTCGGCTCCGTCTCCATGCGGCTCCTCTGCTGCATGTGTGGTCGGAGTCTCAGACGAAGACGGTGTGTCGAGCACCGTGGCTCGGAAGGCTGCCGACTGACGCCCCAACTCAGTCTACGCAGTCTGCCCTGCTGTGTGTATTGACGGACTGATTGGCTGAGAGCCAGGCTGTCACGGCCCCTTCTCAAGCGATCTGTGACGCTCTCATGCGTGCGAGGAGAGTTTGTGTGTTTGTGGATAGTGCTTATCTGTCGACGACTGTCTGGTTACCCAACCTAAATGCTGAGCTACGTGTCGCCCTTCTAGGTCAAAAGGTCTGAAAGCGTACGCTACGCCAGCATCAGTAAACCATGGCCCTCGCGCTGACAGTTCTCTGACACCTGGTTCCCTGCCGGTAGATGCGCTCGCGCTCCCACTGGGTATACAGGTCGTGAGCATGACAGCCCAGTCATCCTCCTCATTCTGACCCGTTGTGGTTCTGTTGCTGGTTAAAATTCTAGTCAAGTGTTTGTTGTGGATCAGGGGGGCGGTGGTACGCCTAAGTGCAGGTCTAGCTGGGCCAGCGACCTGTGCCTCTCCCGCCTTCGGTCTTCTTAACCATGTCTTGGTACTAGGCTCAGGTAGGGAGGAGAGAGTGCGGTAGATGCTGCGGTATTCTATTCTCTCTGTAAGCTAATTCACGCGCAAGTCATCGTGCCTGCCTCACCTTGCGGTGGAGCACACGGTGGACATCATCGGGTACGACGGTCGAACTGTCGATAAGACCCAAAGATCGAGAACGGTTTCAAGGTAACTTTGAGTAGAAGAAGCAAGAACTTCGTGGACTTCCGTGACAGAAGTTTTGTCCGATCTTCCTCTTTTAGACCGCATCACAACAATTCGCCGGGTGGTCATGATGGTGTGAGGCTCTCGGTCGGATGAGATTACTTGCTGTGAAATGGCTACCCCATCCAAACTCACACCCCGATAGTGTGAAATGAATGTACAACACTAATGCCTGTTGCGTTCCCCTTGGTTTCAAAGGAAACTCTGCCCCCTAGTCTTACCAGAGTTGGACAGCGTCGACAATGCTAGAAATCGTGACCCGAGTTTTGATGTCTTTTGTCGGTTTCGTCTTCAGAGACAGCCGTATTGAGAGATTTTGAGGTTCTATTGATGTCAAATATTGCAATTTCGGCGAAATATGCAATGCAGGCGTTTTCAAGTTCAGAATATCCGTCGTGGTTTGTTCTTTTTCGGTGATTCTCAAAGCAACACAGCGTCGAAATTCTACTGCTGTCTGTACCTTTTAGTATCGACGATTTTGCTTCCAGAAAGGCCTGTGACTTAAGAGAAGATCTTGCCCTAGGCCCACATCTTGACTTAAAAAGCGTAAGAGAGATGGTGCTGCGGAGGCGCTTGAGATCCGATCCATTAAGAAAAGACTGAAAAAGTAAGCCAACGTTAGCGCGAGACGTTGCATAGCGACCAGACTTTTAATGGTCCTAAGAGCAATTTGAAAACAAGGCAAAATGTCATCCGGGTCAATGCTCAGTCTGACCTGCGGTGTGATGCATGCACAGGTCAGACTACATCATCGATACAAAAACTCCGAGCGACAGCACAACTGTCTCTTTAATATAGTTTCGATAGTTTTACACAGATCAATCCGATTTTCTACAGGAAAGAGTAAAAGTAACTAATATTAGCGCGGACACCTTTTATCATGAAATTGTTTTTTATAAGGTCCTGTAATAATGAGGTCCAAAATATGGCTATCCCATGATTATGAGCCCATGTAGTATGCCATCGTTTCCCTGCATCTGGACTATGAATGTGACGTTGTGCTAACTTTGATGTTGTTATCACTGTCAACCAATTAGGCGGAAACAAGACGGTGAACCGTACGCGCAAATCGATCGGTGCGTCAGATCGATGACATTTGGCCAGTTTCCGGATTTTATGAATGCCTAGAGGTAAATTGCTTGCGGATATCGAGCAAGGTGAGATTTCAGCATTGCAGGCAATGAATTTTAACGCTAGAAAGATCTACAGCGCTTGAAGGGACCGAAACAAAGGTGAATAACTGCATCGTATCTACGAAAAAGTACTGTGGAAGAAAGGAACCGAAAGGATGGGGAGCCAGGCGCCTCAATCGAAAAGGACAATCCTACGTGAGGTATCGGTGAGAAGCAGTTGCATACGCACTACTAAAGTGATATTCGGAACCGGGAGTTTCAAAGAGAACGACGCCTCACAAGAAGCTAGAATTAGTGGATTCACAGGTTACTGCTCCGGTATTTACTGTTATTCTGCAGATCAGCCGATCCTGGGCAAGGTTTACCCAGGTCTCTGGATTTATTTTCAGATCTTTGAAAGAGGACTGACTGCAGGACATCCTTTCGCGTCACCTTTTACTTTCATGTTGTCAAGCACCTGTTACGATGTCGCCGTAGAAGAGTCGCTCGGGCAGGCATTCGTCATCCATCCTTGCAAAGTGGCCGTCCCGGGCAGTTAGATTTGCCTCAGCATAGTGAGGGTGCTGCAGACTCCGGTCCTACCCAGTATGTTTGTGTTCTGGATCCCGTTCTGTCACTTAAACTTTAGTTTTCTCCGAGGACAGCTAAGGTGGAAATTGTTCAGCTTTCTGTCTTGGCTGGCGTAGGCGGCCCATATCTCCGCCCTGTAGAGTAGCATTGTCAGGACTACCTATCTGTGCCTCATCGTGTCCCCTCTGTCAACGGACATTCCGCGTACGGATTGGTCTAACTGAACATCTTCGGACCCAATGCTATAACAACACGACAAGTCCACCTACTACCTACGAAAACGCCTCCACCGTCATCCTTACAGCAATCCTAACGAGGTCCACGACGACAAGCAATAGAGAGGAACAAACTTCCGACGCGCTGGCGCTGCCCACCACCGCCCTCATCATCACCGGCATAACCTTCGCATCGACGGCGGCGACTGCCGTCACTCCCAACGCCCTAGTACCCACAACCGCCGTCCCCGCCATCAATAGTGCGAACCCAATCACAACCGGTCGTCATTGTGAGCTCACCCTCGCATCACGCGTCGGCCTGGTCGGTCATTTGCGAATCTATCATACTGAGATTGGCGAACCGACACGCACTAGGCGCACCCACCTTCACTGCCCTCTCCGCACGCGGACATTCAGTCACTGCATAGAGCCTACTCGGCCATATGCGGCTCCATGAAAGCATGTTATAGAACACCACAGGCTAAACTCTTTTACTGCACATCTCCCCACCAGCCCATAGACCGCACATAATCCCGTCCCACATCATCCACCGCAGGCACACAACAGGAACCTCTCATGCAAGTGGCAGAAGAATTCTTGGCGCAACCTAGAACAAAACCAAGCCGTGTGTGTCATAGGTAGACGGGCAGTTGCAACTCCGTTAGCCATTGCGTGCAATACCAGCACCAGATGGATGGCAGGCTTGGAGAGTCGACCGGTGTACAGGAGAGAGAAAAGAGAGTGTTAGGAGGGCCCAGAACAGGAGGCATCGTTCCTGTCATCCGGAGGTCACGCCTGACAAAGAACTGCAAACCGACAGGACAGCCTCGCCTAGGAAGCCTATATGCAAGCCAGACATTAGCACGCCGCTGAGTCACGCGCGACCTGCAGGGGTCAGCAACGCGTTCAGGACTGGACCAGTAGGAGCACGCAAACCAGACGAAGGCTGAACCCCTAGGTACGAAGTCACAGACGGAAGGATTAAGAGTTGATGTACACAGAGTGACTGACACAATAAAGCTGTTCTCTGGTATCCTGTCTGTCTTTTATTGCGCGCAGAACTGGCGTCATACTGTTGGGGGATATAACAGAGAGTGAGGACGATTCTGGTGACCCTGTCCACTTGACGCTGCAACACATTCCTTCATATAATAAACCTAACGTTTGAATCTATTACGGCGTAATAAACGTTGGAACTTGGAAGGTTGCCAACTGTTGCCAAAACGCAGACCTCTTGGCCAGGATTGTGTATGTGTGTGCAGTGACTGCCGGTAAACTGAGGTTCAGGCCACGATGCCTTCACTTTAATGTGACCACTATGGCACTCTCACGACAGTGATATTTGAGCTGCCCACCCATTTTGCATGAAAACCTGGTGTTAACTGGTATTGTGGCGGATTTGACTGATTCATTTGGCCTAATTGTGAAAACTTCGAGGTTTCGGTGGGATTCAAACCCATGACAACAAGGACGAGGTTTGAGTACAGTCAATGCTCTAGGCATCTGGTGAATTTTAGACTTACTGCTTAGGAAATCCTGCTTGAGCAGTCAGGTTACTGCATCACACTTGCTGAATTCCAAAGATCGCAGCAGGCTGGGCGACCAACTTTACCCAAATTCGAATAAAATCACGGCTACCAGTGAGGCCTCGTAGCTTCGGCGATAGTGAGGCCTCCTCTTGCTGTCGTGGGTTCGAATCCCACGGAATCCAGCCATGTTTAGTTCTGTCAGTCCCGGCGCCTAATTCACGCATCAGATAACTGCCCCCGAACCTTCTCTGGGGCACAGGATGAACATTGTCGAAGTCGACCGTCGAACTGTCGTGTTGACTCGGCGTGCACCTTCGAGATATCTTACTAACGATGTCGCTCGTCTCACTACTTTAGCTATTGTAGACTATTGACCCCGTCTGCCTTTAATCAAGTACGTGTCTGAGAACTTATCTTTCAACGTCGGATAAGAAGGTTGTCATAGTCAAATGTGCAATATTTGATAGAGCACTGAAAACTCGTGGACAGTACATGGAAAGTGTAATAAACGCCCGCTTCTCATTCTGGCTTCATTCATATGTTCTACGCATGTGTGGAATTGGGAAACGTTGGTGGAACTTTTGAAACAACTAGTTGACGAAGGACACACCTCCAAGTAAATTCACGCGTATTAGCTTGTCCGGTTTTAATTGAGCGCCCTTACAGCTACCTGTACAAAATACTTCCAAAGGTATCACTGTTTAAGTAGTATGTGGTTTTTTATATAAGTTCGATCACCGTTAACTACAATCACGTTTCTTAGAAAGGATATATAAAAATTGACATCTTTGCGTTCACGTTGTGGGAATAAACATTCTGGTAAAGCTTTCTACATGAGGGAAACGTGTATCCTGATTTGCAATACTTGCTAATACCTGTACTTGTAGACTCTAAGACACAACCTGCGCTTTCACATTTTCTTGGGGTCTTCTCATAAATGGCCACAAACTTTATCATAGAAAAATTAATATATTCCCCCATTTTATGCTGAATTGGTGTCCTACTACTCCCAGAATGTTATAGTAGGTATGGATCACGTTATACGTTTTTATCGAAACAATACTAATCGTCAGAATAATATTTTGCACCATTCATTATGATGTTATGTTCCACGCTGACTGGTTTTGCAAACTAAACTGGGTAAACTTTTCCATCTACAAGTTTATCGGAAACTTTTCTTTAAAGGTTTCTTAGCTCCGATGCATACTATCTGCCTCACGATGTCAAGTCTAAGTAATTTTAAAATTATAAACAGTCTTACCGAGACTGCCTTCATGCCGCTTGCTCGACTCGTTTATGTGATCACGGATCGAGCGTCGCAAAGAGCTTCGCTTGTTCCTCGACACGTCCAGATTTTCCACGTCTATATCGCCGAGTTTGTTTAACCATTTTCGCAAAAAAAGGCCCACGTCAAGTTCAACTGACAGTTCCATGCCGTCCGCATCACCGGCAGTCAACCGACTGGTCATCACCAGGGGACCCTCATGATGCGCGACTTCAGCAGTGTTCTGATTTTGATCCTTCGCGCCACCACTGCCTGAGACCTAAAACATGCGATATTAACAGGAAGGATTAATGACCGTTATATTTTCAAAATCATTATGTTTGTCTTTAATTAAGCGGCCTTGAAAGTGTCTGCTGAGTGCTTAGCAGACTTGTGACAACCATCTCCCCCCCCGCTCCCCCATATGACGTAAAACCATCGTGCTCTAGACGATAAAAAGTCACGCAAAATCAATGATGCCAGAAAAAATTAAACTACGGCCAAATTTTTGCAGCTTTTTTCCTTCTATTTTACTGTGCTGACTCGACCTTGTGATCACTGGTTCTGGAGTACGGAATCACAAAATTAGTACTTGGTATCGATTAGAGGACGAATTTGATCGGTCTTCCCCAAAAGTTGATAAAACAGTTTGGTTCAGTGAACTTTACTAGTTATGTCTTAGGGGCAAAGAGCTGGGTAGTTTAGGGTTTCCTTAATCTCAGATTCCACTACTATGAGTAGTACATATGGGATTTTTCCGTAGTTTGCTCTAAAACCAGCCAAATGAAAGTAAATCATTTAAAATTGGAAAAAAGTTACACATATTATGAGGGCCAAAAATGAGAAGAAACCAGTTTGAAGCTGAGAGAAACTCGAAATTTGTGTTTTTTAGAGGCAACTGGTATGCAACAGGTCGAGTAATTTAGACATCCCAAATTCCTCCCATGGAGGGTGTCACTGAAAACTGGGTCAGACCTCACCACTGACGAAAACTTTTACGACAATGAAAGTACGGCGGGTTACTGAAGGAAACGAACAACCCATGAAAGCACTATCGAAGTTCCAGTAGGTGACCAAACTGACAAAATATGAAGGACGAAACCCATATGGTCACTCCGGGGTACCGCTGATATTGTGCATTTTACTTACTGACTTAATGAGCTTTGTCTGAAACCCTTTTCTGTCGCGTTTATTATCGGAAAAGACATGACAGAGTGGAGTGACTACTTGCGCCCAACATTTGTATCTTCTCTCGTAATTGTATCTGATAACTGAACACCTCACATGTTCCTTTGAATATTTCTGACTATGGCAGACAGCACGTATGAAACGGTGATTCGACCGGTGGTAAGTAAGCCAAATAATTACCTGGACTGGGACTTCGACCTAAGGTCATTCCGACCAACGTTTGGGACATGGAAAAATGGCGACAATAGAAGCAAGACGGCGGTAATAAAGATAATCATTTTGGCGTCTAAAACGTTATTTTATGCATGCACATAACCCGTTCCACAAAAGTGCCTTTCTTATGTTTAATATGGTTCTAAGCACGTTTTTTTTCGGGAAAAAGTCCACCAATAACAGCCAAATTAGACGTTGCCTTAAATTTAGGCGCGCACCAAAGCGCGCTTTCTTAGGGGAGTAATCTAAACTGGGGAGCTTTATCAAACGAACCTTGGCACACACGCAAATTGCTTTTTCGGTCTTCGAGATGTGAACAAACGCATTATTTTTAGGAAATCAGACGTCTAGTCAATTTTAAAAGTTCTTATGTTTGTTTATGTGTGGATTCAAACCCTAAAATCGGTACTATTGCCTTCAGGCAGTCTCTTTGTTTAAACAAACCACAACACTTGTCTTCTCGAGCAGTTGATTGAGAACACTAAAGGCCGCCGAGCATACGTTGACAATTCAAGGACGTCCTGTAACCAATCATAGCTTACCTTCGCCAAAAACCAGACAGTAATGTTACCGAAGAAATGACCTCTTGATACACAGAGAGCTGTTGGCTTACGATTGCATCTGCTAATTCCATTCTAACTACTTAGTCATTGACAGGGCACTCAACATGTGATTTAATGAAAACGTTTACCCCTGTAACGTCCCTATTTGCGAAATCAAGTAGCATCCCCTTCGCTTTTACCAACCTCATCTCGACTAATACAAAATCCGAAAAGTTACATCGCATTCTCGTGGAGCAGTTTCGGAACATATAATCCAACGTGATACATAGCTATATACCATAATTCATATAACGATAATTCTTTGGGAATATTTATGCAAAATTCATCATAATTCCTTTTGTTATTACCTACGTCTTCCCCCAGCTTTGTTCTTGAAGGAAGGATGGTCTCAAATGTTTGCTAACGTAATTTTAAAGAAGTCATTTATCTTCTTTGTCCTTTAAAAAGCTGTTTTTATGGTTCAAAAATCTGCATTAGATATGGATCCCGTTGACAGTTCTGAATACGGCATTTAAAAACTTCAAAATTCGATGCTACTTTATTAGGCGGGTCAGCGTCTGAACATTTCTCTTCTTTGCAAGCTATTCTATAAACCGAAATATACAACTCCTTCAAAGCCATAATTTGCAAAAAACATTTTCATGCAACAGGAGCATAAGAGAGAAGACAATCTTGAGCACACTGTCATGAAATGTGGGTAAATTGAACAAGCATGTAAACATAACGGACAAAAATCCCACCAAGTAACTTGTCAATTCATAAGTGGACGTTAATGCGTGTTTGAAGTACCCTTAGACTATCGTACATGGCAATGAGCATTGCAACCTCGCCTATACAATCCTTTCTAGCCGACGCCTTGCCTTCATGAGCTTGGCTATTTGCCATAGGTAAAAACGTGTATCTCTAATCCGGTCCATTTTTAAATTATTAGTCTTAAAGATCTCGTCTGGCTATATAGCGCGTCTCGTTTTCTTGGTAATCAACTCTCCCCAGTGAACCTTATTTTTCGAAATTGACTACGATCAAAAACCGGACGGTATAATGATAAAAGAAGTCAGTCGAGGAAATACCTGACTCTGTCTCTGAGTCCCGGTTGACAAAGCAGCCTACATTGTCAGGAAAATTGAGATAAATGTTACACTTGAGGACGAAACCTTGACAGTTTCTATCCTTGTGCCTTCAGGGCAAGTAGTTTTTTCTGGCTTTCTCCAGACATAACGCCCTCACTCACAAGTCCTCATTAACCTCGATTCACCCCACACAGTCTTCGTACACTAGCAATACCCATATGTTAGCTGGTGTAAAACATTACCTCCGTTGTGGCCGTCCCAAAGTACTCGCTACTGTTTTATAATGATATTGAGTCTGGATTTGGGTGAAACACCCGCTGAGCAGGTTGACAACTAGAGTGTCACAAAAGGCACTGAAAGCTGGAATATCCTGGAAAGTACTTCTGCTCACGAAATGGGAGCTTTAGATAAATGGGACTGCAGTGCTTATTTAAAGCAAAATAGGAAAATTGCGGACGTACGGGCTCATAAGTCATATGAGTAGCTAATTGTTGCGTCCGCACCGAACACTGAGGTCTTCTTTGTGAGAACAAGTCCAATCAGAATTAAAAGTCCCGCTAGCCAAGCCAAGGATGACAGTCTCAATACCTAACAGGAAGACTGGTGTGTTAAGTCTGGAAATCCCTTAAGAAAACGATTTGGACGATTCGAAGTTCAGTTAGATAGCACATTTTAGCATTTGCTAAAGTAACCGTTAATGATATAGAAGCAGAGCGCAGACCCACAGATTTGTCAGTAGCATGGATATGCAATCGATGGCCGGACGTGGGAGCGTGCTGTCACTCATACTATTGCTATGGGTGCATGGAATTCTCGAGACGCGAATGACGGCAAATTAGAGCGTAAAGGAAGTATCCCTCTGCGTATCAAATGCTAACGGTAGCAACTCAAAAGTAATAAACAGTTTCAGCTAAAAAGAGACGATACCACGACTCATGGTTTTTTAAGTCATTCGCGTGACACAATATCCGGAAATCGAACTCAATTTATTGACTATAATGTTGGGAATACCAGGTAACTGCTGTCGATGGCATTAAAACAAATAAACCTCTGTCATACCGCTTTCCCAGCTGCTGCACTTTCCGCGTAGGAAACTGAATGTGTCCCTCAATGGGGATCAAAGACATGCGCACTTGGCTCCTCCTATAGCTTCGTAATTGACAGATATCATTCCCACCCGACGACCACAAACACCATTATGATATACGGAACCAGGCAGGACAGGCTTTCATACATCAAGAAGCATAAACCGGCATTTTGAAGTATTATCAGTTGGAATATGCAGCTTCCGCACTTATCATGCAACCCGTTGTCAACCAAAGTTACTCACGGTAGATCGCTTAAATTGAACTAAGCAGTCTGTCAGCAAACTTCTAAAATCATATTTTCAACAAGATAGCCGGCTGGGTAGTGTGTACCTTACAATTTAATGTCTCGGCAAATCTAATCAATTTTGCCCTTACATGACTTGGCTTTGCGCCCTAATTTTTGCCTAATACGCGTGTGACGCGAGCTCCCCACAGGGAACTGAGCTGTAGATGCACTGAACCAAGACTGGGCCAGACGGCCTCACTGCGCGCGTTAATCGGGCTGCGCAGAGTCCGCGTGAGGCCATAACTACTGTAATACACCCTACATGTGAGGGCACGCCTAGACATAGGCCTTTACGCCACGTCAGTTGCCGCACTCATTCTCGCACCGTTTGAATGGCAGGCTAGGACAGATGCTTGGTGCATGAGAGAGGGAGGAGAGAGTGAGAACGACGACGAATAACCTATTTCCGCGACGCATCAACTCACTTCTGTCTATAGTAAACCTGACGCGCCCGAGTCTACCGCGAAGCGCTAAAATTCCTGGCTTGGAAGGTAGGCAGCTTACGCTGTAACTGGGTTCTACGCAGGAATGACAGTCAGACTCAATGGCTCCTTCTGAATGTGACCTGTGTGACATTCATTCTCCTGTGAGGTCCGAGCTGCCCTCACGAAAACCTGGCATGCGCTGTGGGACCAGATCGGGGGTGACATGCCTAAACGGGCTGTTTAGCTTTGTCAGCCACTGCGTCCAAGCCCACCTCCAGTCGTCTTGATGCGGCGGTCTTGTCATCGGAGTCCGGTGACCGAGGAAAGAGAAAGTGCGGTAGATGCCACACAATTCTGCTATCACTATGAGCCCATTCACGTGAGTGTTGCCATCCTGTGTCCACCATGCTCTGGGACACACGGTGGGCGCCTTCGTTCACGACGGTTGAACTGTCGTGTGTTGAGAGTGTGCCAGATTGTTTCCAACGTATATTTACAAATGGACTATTTTCTACCAAATAAATGTGAGGAACGCAATCTGCGGTCAAAAAGGGTTTGTAGCGGACACTGACAGCGGTTGACTGTTGGCGACATTTGTTTGCGACATCCTAATTTCGCAGACTGTCTTATCTTGAAAACCATGGTGAATTTCTTCATTTCACCACAATTTGCGTATCCATAGATTTAGTTTGTCCTAATCTTCTGCCAGTTCTTTTGGATTCTTTAGCGCTTGTAGAGCGCATTGTGAGATTGCGACTTTGCTTTGAGTTGTGCTTTCACTCATGCAAGGCGTGTGAGGTTAATTTTTTGAGATATCACTCGCTATACTCCGTCGTCGCTGTCATCGAACCAGTCGTGGTATTTTGTGAGCCCGAACAGCGATGTTAACGATATCCCAAAATTTCGACCAGTTTACCTAAGGTCTTTAGCCTCCAGGGTTCAAAGGTAGTTTATTCAGGTGCTCATTTCATTAGATATTTCCTACCCGCATTGAGCCTGACTGAATACTGTCGCGTTCGACTTTGTTAGTACCATCTTCCCTTCTCTGCGGCTGGACTCACAGCTTCTTTTCGGCGAAAACTAGGCACTTATTAATTTAGTATTCGGCCCTGTGTATTGTTCCTGAAACGCGCACTTTGGGCTGCTCACGCCTCCTGACGAGCCCAAAGATGGTATTAGTTACGAGGACTTTGTGTCCGGTGTAGGTCGTCAACCGGAGTCTGTTGGCGTTGCAATAACCTATGCCGTGACGGTCAAGGCGGGAACAGGGCTCGTTTCTTTCAGCCATGTAGATGGCGCTCGTAAGTCCATCAACTTGCAGAGGGCGTGTGTATAAACGCTTTTATTGGGGGGGAGACACTTTGTAGCCCCGTCCTTCGCGAGAAGGTAAACAGTTCTTCCTAAATAAGAGCTGCTTAGACACCCCAGGCAGCTGTAAAATTCCGCTATGGGTCACAGCTTTGGCTAGGTAAGTAAGCCGGCTAAGTCTGGATCGCCTATAGTATTATGTGTCATCCTCTCTGCACAACGTCCCTGGCTGGAGTGAAGAACAAGGACTTATTGAGCATAAGGTCTCTGTCTAAGTAGGCAACAAAACGACTGGTTAAGCCCGATTTTCCCAGCAAGATTTCACATATACAGTGAGTGAGAGATCTCATGAAATGTTGGCTGAAATTCTGAAATGCGTTTTCGACTAGGAAGGATTACTTAGGCGCGGTTGTAATACTGACTACCTTGAGACATAATCCTATAACATTTTGGACTCGGCAAGATATTAGCTTTTGAAAACACTGCTTCTCGATCTCCTGTAAAAGCCGTACGCGGTAAAAAAAAAATACTACTTAAGTAGCATGCATTTTCGCATTGATTTTCGATGGGCTTGCAAATTCAACTATATTTTATAGAAACCACGAAGAAAACTATGATTCTCTTCAGTCGTTTGATAGAGAACCACGTCATTTTTATAGTTTGTATTCGAAGAAGGAGTATAATTAGGTTTTAAAAAGGTTTCTTATTATGATATTTGTTAAGACCGCGCATCATACCTGCCCGTTTATCACAGATCGTCGGGAAATGCACGACATAGTCCGCATCCATTACAACATTTTATGGACTCTATATGATATCTTTTTAAGGCATAGAACAATATGTGGTTTTCTTTACGCGAAACGTATGCACCTTGTGGACTGAAATCACTAAGCGCTAGTGCAACGACTGATCAGGCTCCAAATTATTCGGCAATTAGAGAACTTTTTTAAAACCGATTTACTCAGTAAGATTTCACACATAGATTAATCTCATGGGGGATTTTTCACCGGCTACCGTCGTGTGGTATGCTCTATCGTTCGAAACAGTGCCTGCTGCACAAAGATCAACTTTATGGCCCGTTAGATGAGAGCCGGGTCCGAGTGGAGCAACCATCACGTGCATCAAGGCATGCGGAACGACCTCAGTGGTGTGACCCTACGTGGGCACCCCGTGCACTGCTCCCGGAGCTGTGAGTGAATTAATATGGACTCACCAAATCAGCAGAACCGACGTGGACTACCTAAGGACCCATTGTCTGAATTTTCGCTTGAACATGTGACGAGACGGAAGCTCAGCCAAGGGCGAGTATGGCGCCTTGTAGGAGTGAAGTAGAGGCAGAGTTATACCCTAGTTTCTGTTGACTTCCTCATTTAAATGGTCCTTTCCATGTGAAACTGAGTTCAAACTGCTAGTTCACTTTAAAATGACAAATTCTTCGGCATTAACAGGTAAATTTTATCTTCTACTTGTACTTTGCCGTCATTCTAAATTTAAAGTTACGCATCAAATATGCGCTACCATTTAACAGATTTGTTTTATATATGCGCCGACCATTCTAGTGGGCCAACTTGATATAATTTACTGGTGTTTTTTCCATAAAAATACTCCTTCTCCTGCGTTTTTGTGTAACAAAACGAATGTTATCAATCAGTAAGTTTGAAAATGTTGAAAACTGTGCCAAGTTGCTGGTAGACAACTCCATTTCAACATATCGTCTACCGTAGTATTAAGCGCAAGCATTTCAACGACAAATTCAGAAATTCAGACTAGACATGTGGGCACTAAAGCACATTCCTTCTCAAATAAATACCTTTCTGTCTAGTCCACTTTTCTTGCAGTAATTTAATGCTGTTGGGTAGGCGTCAGCTATTCTCAAAATAATTTTCAATAAAATGTAACTCTGAAAATACGCTGGAAACATTTTTTTTCTTTTCCCATAGAAAAGTCAGAATGGGATAGTCTATAATTATAATCGTCAAGTTTGCCTGTTGGCACCTTATGGGAAGAATGCAATCTTTAACAATAAAAACATCCAACAGTTCAACTTGACCGGTAACATTACAGCCTACGTCAACCTTTCCGAGGCACAAACGACATACTTATCATCGCTTCTGGAAATAAAATTATTCTCATGCGAATCCAGCAGCGGAGCGGTCGTCTCAGCCTGCAAGAGACTTGCTTTGAGCATCGAGAACAGAGTTTAGCAATAGACTTCTCTCAGCTAATGATCATGATCATGACGGCACAATCAGGGACACACCCCAAGGCTTACTAAGGGAGGTCAGCGGCCAGAATCTGTTGTGTTGAGCCAAAAGCGGTCAAAATTGGCAAACTTTATTCGAGCAGTGAGATGTCTGCGTGTATTTTTAACTACTGCTGCTTCACGCGCCTGTGCCGTAGGCTGACGGCATCTTTCACCACATGACGCTCAACATCATTGCCAGGCTGCAGAAATATTTGGAAAGTCGGCTGGTGCGTTGGAGAGCAACGAGAGAATGGGGCCGAGAGAGAACGTGCAATAGGCAGTAGGAAGAATGCATGATCTATGAGACGCTAGATTAATGGTTGAGTAGCAGAAAGTGGAAGTGGACTTTCAGTCTAAACACCCCATTTTAGTACCAGTCAACATGAAGAAGCCAAGAAAGCTTGAGGGGTAGGTATCACCAAAATACCAGAGTCGTTAATTTCGAAGAATTTCAAGTGATATAACAGTGGAGAGGTGACGCGACTGCATGTGCTGTACTTTCTCTAAAAAGGATTCACTTACCCCTTTATGTCTGCTGTTTATAAGATTTCCTAAGCGACACAAATAAATCTGCGGATACTGGACGACAGGACTAATTATGCAGGCTCCCAAAAATTGCTGTAATTACGAATATTTTGTCGACCATGCGTGAAACGATTTAAAGTTATTTGTCGTATTAGCACGCGTTACTAAATTCGTTTTGCGTTTGAAATTATAAAAGGTGTTCGTCAATGTTTATTCAATGTTAAGAGGTAAATCTTGGTCTTACCTTTCCAATCTCCAAGGGTTTTATTACGAATCGCATGGAAGCAGCCGGCAAAGGAACCTCGCCGCCATTTTCCCCGTTATGGAGCCTAACGCGTGTAGCAATTTTCATTAAATCATTCAGGCACAGCCTTTGCTCTAGAATATTTAAACTGCCCCGATGTCCAGGTGGACGGTACATGGAGTTGTGAGATTCATTTTGCCCAATGTTCGAAAACTGACTGGGGGGTCCCCTCGTCCAAACAACTTTGGTCTGACAATCGCTCACTATCTTTGCCACAGTAACTGTGAGCGACCGCAGAGACCCGTAACTTAGGAGGCATTCTTGCGCAACAATGTCTTCACCAAGTCCTTCCAGAGAACTAACACTGCAGGTCATCAAGGCCTGCGGCTGGTAGCAAACTACTTCATTTTCAAGGAAATTCAAGGTGTTCGTTTTGTAGGGGGACGGTCCGTCAAAAGTATATGCTTGTCCAACCGTCGATTCGGGATATTCCTCCTTGCAGACAAGACTGGGAGATGAGTGCCAGGTCTTCGCGTGCTGCTGTTCGCACAGGGTCTCCCGTGAGAGCCAACGACCATTTGAGCCTGTAGATAATTCCGAGTGGTCTGAAAGGAGACTGTGATTGTCGGATAAACTGCTGTCTGAGGTCGGGGGCACTCGCGATGGAACACTGAGCGATCTTTGGTTGGACACCTCCCGCACTACGGTCCGGAATACGTTGGAATTCAATACATTGCTGTAGGAGAGGTGATGTGACGCAGTATACGCTATTATGAGACCTTGATTTTCCAGAGGGCCATTTTTCGGTGGCACGCACATGCTGTGAAACGTGAATGGAATGAATAAACGTGGTCCTGCACCGTTTTTGTCCAGTTTGAACTGTCGGAAAATATCTGCTGTAAGTCGGTAAAATATTTCACAGAACCGGCCAACCCCGTCGCCCTGGTTTTCCACCAGAGGCCAAGATAGAGCATGAAGAGGGGCGCATATTATGGTTTCGTACTTTTGTGGTGATAAGCGCACGCGGTCATTGGTGACGGATTGAATAAGTTTCAAGTACTCGATTAGGAAATTGAATTCGGCAACATCGTCGTAGAGTTTGACCAGGGCGCGGACGGTGTCGTTTAGTTTAAATGAGCACAAAACCCGACCATTGCCCAGAGGCAGAGTGCTCGCTAGTCCCAGGGGCATGAAGCACACCGGACACTTCAGCACGCGAAGTGCACCGCCCCCTGCGACCCAATCATCGTGAGGCGCTTTCTGGGCGGACAATGCGATTTTCAGGTCACGTGGCTACAACATGTGTAAAAAATCGATTCAGGCATGTCCGAGCAATTTCGAAAGGCTGTCAGCAGGGCCTTCTACTTGAACCCTACTACCCGACTAAAGGCCTAGTTGGGAAGGGCGCGAGCCGCCGTCTATAAAGGCAACACAGAAGGGTACTTGAGAAAAGGCGGGATATGACATGCATATTTCATCTACACCAGAAAAGGGTGATTTAGAGGATTTAGATGATGCTGGGGAAAACGAACGTGAGGGGGGAGGATTTGGTGTGGACGAGGGTCTCGCCGTCCCCTTATCGGGGGGAGCTAAAAGCTTCAGTGAATCCTCCGACAAAACGAAGGATATGCCAATGAACTTGAGAAACCAATCGAATACCAAAGAACCTACTAAAGACGATGGTGAAGTTCTAGACGATTATATACGCCGATTGTGGAAGTTAAAGGAGAGGGGTGGAAAAAAACAGATGTTAACAGAAGATGAAATGACCAGTATCTGTCGGAGCGTCCGTGCGCTTTTTCTCTCCCAACCATGTCTCCTTGATCTTGGCGGACCTCTTAAAATATGTGGTGATACGCACGGCCAGTATTCTGATCTACTGCACCTTTTTGAACTATGCGGTGGTCCTGAAACGGTCAACTACCTCTTTCTGGGTGACTATGTTGATCGTGGTCGACACAGCCTGGAGACAATTTCCCTTCTAATGTGTTACAAGCTCAAGTACCCAACACGATTTTTCCTCCTTCGAGGCAACCATGAAAGTCAGTCAATCACAAGGATTTACGGTTTCTTTGATGAATGCAAAAGACGTTTCTCTGTGAAACTTTGGCGGACTTTCATTGATGCCTTCTCTTGTATGCCAGTTTGTGCGATAATCGAAAATCAGATATTTTGTTGTCACGGTGGCCTGTCGCCGGAGATGTTTACACAAGAGCTCTCCACGCTAGCTGATCTCAAGAGAAAAATTCGGGAAATTGTCCGTCCGTGTGACGTCCCCGACTGTGGACTTCTCTGTGACATTCTCTGGTCTGATCCCTGGTACATGGAGTCCGTCGGTGAGGGTGAAGAACCAAGGGGCTGGGAACCAAGTGAACGGGGTGTCTCCTACATGTTTGGACCTGACGTAGTTGACAAATTCTTAGAGCGATTTAACCTTGATCTCATTGCTCGGGCTCACCAGGTTGTTGAAGACGGCTACGAGTTCTACGCAAACCGATCACTTGTCACTATTTTCTCAGCCCCCAATTACTGTGGTGAGTTCGATAATGCGGCCGCAGTCTTTTGCCTATCTCGTGTGTCCCTGAACTCAGGACCACCAAACGAGACATCTAATCTTCTTACTGAATCTGCAGCTGCGGAAAGGAATCAGGACGACATGGACTTGGAGGGGAGCTTTCAAATCATTCGTTCTGTCGTTCAAAGAGCCAGTCGACCTGCTTAACTGCCATTAACGGAAGTCTCGATATATGCCGAGAGGACTGGACGGAAACAGACCAGGAAGCGAAATTTCGGATCCACAAGTCTTTGAGGACGCGGGTTATTCGGTCACTGATCTATGTGCTAGAAGTCAGATTCCGCCCCTTCCCACTCAGCTAGTCACAATGTTTCTCCATCCAGCAAGCGTTCATTTGTGAAATTTCAGCGTAAAGCCTGGGCATCTTTGTAGCCAAAGCAAGAAGTGTTGCGATAAATCTGTTCGAGCTTTGAAAAAAACCGTCACCAAATCTGGTAAATCTCCTTTGATTATTTAGGGGTAGGTCGTCGATTTCATTTGGGAGTGAACAGTGTGTATGGGCAACGTATGTTCGAAGTATACGTTCCCCAAGTGTGCCGGGATTGATGACTTTGCACGGAGTAATGTCCCTGTGTCTACAATCTCCATCACTACTAACTCTGGATTACCGAAAGGAATTTTTCCTAGCACAGCCTTTTGAGAAGCACCGAACAATCCACTACGGTAGCAGTAAACACTACCATTAAGTGAGTTTGCGTAGTTCATGAGGTCGGTCTACAATCCGGTATATATTGACCCAGGCGTATGCTTACGACCAGGGGCCTTAAAGTACTGCCATCTAATTGTGCGATTTACAGTGGAATTGTTCTACGCAAACAGTAGTACGTCCGATGCTCAGACATGTTTTCTCTCATTCTTTGGACAAACTGTCAAAGAGCAAATCGTAGGAGGTCTTGATGCAACCGATAGATACCGGGTTGAAATGTTTCGGAAGAATGGTGAGTGACTTGAACGGAGGGCAGTACCTCCTTTAAGCATTGACATGTAACCACTGTAACTGAGATTCCGTAACGCTGGAATTTCCACCTGATTTGTGAAATATCTTTGGGAATTTTTTTTCAGGAGACATTATTTCCCTCACCATAAACAGCTACTATGGGACAGCTGACGAAATTAACGTCCAACGCATTTTCATGAACACGCCCTTTACTCATACAAATAGTACAATGGCTCAACGAGAATGCAGTGATATTGTCATCGCTGAGACGAAAACCAGTGACAACTGTCTTTCTGTAACAATTTGTATATAAGAATGACTAGTCTATACACTTAATGTTCGTTAAGAAGAAAAGACAGGACTCGTCAAAAACTCCGAAACTGCAGGAAAAGAGTTCACTTGATACAACTCCCCTCCATGGCAGATGTTTGGGAAACATAAACGACGCGATCGGGACAGTATTTTGAGGGCTGGAGGTTATTGCGCCTGCAGATGGGTTGTAGTCCAAAGAACCGTGACTCAGCCATCGGTGATGAGTGCGTGGGATGCCAATTATAATAGGTATGTGCTGGCGTGGCAACTGCATTCAATGCCTACTGCAGCCCTTGTGCATCCATCACCCATATTTGTGGCCGCCTGTGATGATGGCTTCGAGTGTGGAACAGAAACGTCCAGCGAATAAAATTCTCGTGATCACATCCCCTCTATTCACATGCTCGAAGTGTTGAGACAGGCCGGTACCGTGTAGTTGGCAGCCAAGCCTGCGTGGCGCCAACGAGCCAGCCAGTACTGTCCAACGGTCGACTTCAGCTAGCTCACAGAATTTGCAGACTTATCTACTTGACCAGAGCCGGTTAAAAGCGCTAACTAGCTGGTATATCTGTCACATTTATTGAGAGAGTGCAAGCTGGACTCTAACTCCAGGGCACACGAGGCAGCACCACTCTTCCGGGAGAATGATTAAGTTGTCTGCGACACGTCGGTCAGATACTTCGCGCATCACGGCTTTAGACCGCAGCCAGAGACTTCCTTCTATTCTCTTCTTTGTCCTTTTCTCAGTGGCACCTCAGCAGACTTCGCTTTCTCAACCTTCTTGCGAAGGCAAGAGCTCGAGCCGCAGGGAAAGCGACCAGCAGCTGCATCTCAGAAGCCGATGCTTAGAAATTACCAATTGACGGAGTGGCGTGGTCTTTAAGACGAAAAACCAATCTATATCAGTGTGTCCTTTGTGATGTGGTCGATGAGACTAATTGGGCACAGTACGTGAAAGATAGCGAGGCTTCCGGTCGGACAGCACTAATCTTCCAGAGTTCCGGCCAACTCCCGTTCAGTTTGCGGTCGGACTCTTCTGCAGTCATTACTTCAGGACCCTCCATGCTGAAATACCCCGCATCTCACCAGCTCCATCGCACCATGGCTCGCTGGCATTTCGCACTCTTGCAGACTGAGTTCTGGGTCCTTAGCATTCAACGTAGAACGCCATCCGTCGAACTCCCTGATTAACTTTCGGATCTTAGAACCAGGCTTGCCGAGAAGCACGAGGGGTATATGGGGATAAAGGTGGGCAGGCAAAACGGTCCCAGCAGACTGAGAACGGTGCCATTTAAACGAGTTTAGCGGACTTCTACACAAGGGATCGAAAGTCTCGCGCCCAAAAAAAGTTAGAATGCTCAGCATAAAGGCAACCTGATATTCATTACTTGTAGAATCCTTCTTGTGCCTGATATTTCTATCTCTTACCTTTAGCACCCCTCCATGTCGAAGTGTCGGTAACAATCGGGAGATGGCACCCAGAAAAATCCGCCTAACCAAAGCAGCTTGTCTTACGGGACAGGTAGTAATAGGGGTTTTCTGGGTGGTGGCTGGTCGGAATGTACGATACTAGTCGACAGAAAGCCTTATTTGAACAGGTGAATGATCGAAGTTGGCCCGCTCTCCGTTCGGTTATTACAAAATGGGTCGCCAAAGGTAGTGTAGTGGTAAGGGAAAAGTGGAAGGCGTATAATCGTCCTCCCTCAGAAGGTTATCTACATTTCTCTGTTAACCACTCAAAGAACTTCAAGGACCCTACCACCGGACGGCACACCAATTCCATTGAGTCATACTGGAGTAGACTGAAAAGGAAACTCCACGAGGGTGGCCCTGTATGTGGTCGAGCTGTGTGGGCTAGCATAGACGAAGTACAGTACCGTCTTTGGTTTGGCCTCAATTCCATGTCTTTGACAGACGCCTGGGAACTGTTCCTGTCCCATGTTGTGCAGACTTATCCTATTTAAAAGTGATTTTGTTTTGTAATAAACTGCCATAATGCGAATGTATGCCGTATGTTCAGGTGTACGTGTGTAACGATGGGGAAGATTGGGTAACCGGCCATCGTCCATGTAACCTCCTGCGATGTTCGTTCGGCCAGCCCATGTTAGGCCGTCGGGGAAAGTAAAAGTAGTTCGTGAAAGTAGGCCTGCAACCGCTGATATAGCCTGAAGGCGTTTAAGTCCACTATTAAAGTTATTATTTCTAGGTAACGGATTTTTGGGTGCCATCTCCCGATTGTTACCGAAGTGTCATATCCGTAATCACGTTGTTGATGTAGCCTGAGATATGGTGTTCCGCACTGACATGCTTCCATGGCCTGACAAGAGTCGCTAATCCGTGCTGGACCATGTAAAATCTCACTGTCCCGCACCCTCTCCCCCAGACGCGGAGAACCAAAGCTGAAACTCTTACCTGATCTCTGCCCATATGCGGCATGACGACCGCTAATTCCGCCGTTCGCAGCCCTATTGAATCCTCACCTCCCTTCCCCTCCAGTGCAGGGGGGCGTGCCAATTCTCCCTCTGCTCCCCCGCCCCTACCCATCCACCCCTCTCACACCAGTAACCTGTCTGTCAGCGTCTGTCCTGTCGTGCCAACCGGCCTAGTCTGACCATTTCGGCTTCTCCTCTGTTCATTTCTCGTCTGATGACGCGTTGGTGTCACTACCTTGAGAAATCACGAGTACAGATCGATTTTTTCCAGCGAACCTTTTCCCTTCATCATATCGCCTCGGAAAGCACACCACCTCAACTATTCAACATGCACAGTAGATGTGCTATCCAATAAAATCTTAACCGAAACCCTGAAATGTATCTTTCATTGGGAAAGTTCCCTTGAGCAAGGTAGTAAGACTAACTAACGCGCAGCATGAACACAAGATGGTCAGTAATGCCAGGATGCCGATTTTAGAAAGTGTTTCTTTCCGGCAGCTTGTAAAAACTATATTCTGCGAAAATGACTATTAAGTAGCGTGAATTTTTTCCATTGATTTCCGATGCCCAAGTAAACTCAAGTATATTCTGTAGAAAACGTACGCAAAAATATTCTTTTTTGTGCAAATTTAGCAGAAAATTACGTCTTCTTCAAATTGTTTGCATGAAGAAACATTATTTTTCACTTTTGAAAGCTTCTAATTATTATATTTATAAGACAATGAATATATACCCATAAAATATCGTGTCCGTCCATTTGTTAATTCTGCTTGTAAAGTACACAGCATGGTCCACATCTGTATCAAAATTTTACGAGCGCAAAATGACATCTTAGTAGCATATACGCACGTGTGATTTTCCTCACGGACAACATATACAGCCTGTATTTTGGAATTCCTAAGTACAAATGCAACGGCAGGTCAGGTTCAAAATTATTCGAGAATTGGAGTTTTTAAAACCGAGCGATGCCATTTCCTCAAGGATAATTCTAAAAGAAGACGTGATTTTCTACCAAATAAGCTCAAGAAAGAATATATTTGCACATTTCTCTGTAAAATATACCTAAATCCATTAAGGCATCGAAAGTCAATAGGGGAAATTTCTACTACTTAAGGAGACATTTTATAGAGTAGCTTTTGCATGCTGCCTGAAAGAAGCTTGGTCATAAGCCGAAATCCTGATGTGACTGAAGTATCTTGCGACCATACTGCGTGATAGCTAGTCCAACTGTACCACCTAAGTGAACTTTTTGATCGAAGATACATTTCGGGGCTTCAGTTAATATTTCATAAGCTAGCACATCTACTGCATATGCATGCATATATTGCTAACAGGAGCGAAGATTGGAATCCTCGGACATAAATGAGAAAAAGAGGCGATCTCGGGAACCATGATTGTATTGTCCTGACGTTTCAAAAGCAGACAAGCTTTCATCGTCGGGGATGAGTATCGTACGGCGTCACACTATTTATAGGAGGAGGGATGACAGTCGTGTTAACCCGGTTTTAATAATACGGAGGGAGTCGTTGATCCGCTTTGGCGTTAATGGCCCGCATACTCACAGGGATCATCGTTGTAGTCGCCGGGACAGAGCGGGAGGGAGGGCGACTGCCGTCAATCTGCCTGTCTCTCGTCGGGGGACGGCATTTGAACGATGGTGGCCATCGCCCGCATTCGCGTTGACCTTACTTGCCGTCCTGAGTTGCTAGTATTGTTTGCATCCCTCTGACTGCGTTTCTCCCCGTCTAACGGAGTGGTGGCAGCAGTATTGATAACTGCCCTTTGTCAGGCCCGAATTACGTGTAAGTCCGTTGTAGGTTCTCCTGTGTTTGGATTCATGTCTCACCTAGCTTCGCGCTTGATCTTTCGTCCGTTGAGCTGCATCCGGAGGGCATGGTAGGCTGCCGGAAGGGCGACACAACGGTTTATTGAGGTATTTTCCGTGTGCCAGGCCTCAAATGTTTCCCTGGCTACACGGTCATTTCCCCGACCCAGACTGGCAGGTTGGCAGCAGTCACCTTCCATCCCCCCTTCTGCCCCAGCGACTACAGAGACGATCCCTGTGCGCATGCGGGCAATGAGCGCCAAAAACGATCAACGACTCCCCCGTATAATTAACCCCAGGTTAGCATGGCTGTCATCCCCTTCTAAGTACTGTGTGACACCTTACGATACTCACTTCCGACGGTGGAAGCCTGCCTGTTTTTGAAACGTTAGGACAACACAACCATGGTTCCCGAGATCGCCTCTTCTTCTCATATAGATAAATATATGTCCCGTCCATCATCCCTAAGAGGCGACGAATAAGGAAAAGGAGCGTTTGTATGAACCACACTGTATTGGTGCTGACGTTTCGGAAACTTCCTCGTTTCCATCATCAGAGTGGTGGGGTGTCTGTTCCTGCTGGACCGGAGTTGTGCTGTCTCGCCGCCTGTCTCGAGTTATAGGCATGCCTAACGCACGAACTCTGACTTGCCTTCTGGTTGGGGATTGACTTTGGTCTCTACGCGGGTGAGCGCTGACGCGCTCCTGTGATCTTCGACCCTGCCCGGCTGTCGTAGTCGCTGCAAGGTCTTTGTGCCCGTGAGCCCTCCCCTCATAACAGGATGGGCTGATCAGCTGCTGTTGCATGTGCGAATCACGCTCGGCTGTTTTGGCGCGCCGGTGGGTCGATGTCTGACACGGTATGCCGTAGACCACTACTGATTGTTCCTGTCTGACGCAGGGCATCAACGAACACCTGATGAGCCTCCGCTTGCCTTTCCGGGGTGACA